TCCTCTGCAGACATTAATTAAATTAACTGGGATTTATGGTATTCATTAAGCAAAAATGTAAAAATTACATGCATATACAGACTCATGCTAGATAATCCCTATTTCTTTTTGAATAACCTTTGGGCTATATAATGTATCTTAAATTGAAAACTATCTTTAGATGGATGTTTCTTTCAATTGTTTTATTAAAACATCTGATTTAAATGAAAAAAAGTTATGTATTTAGATTTTTGTTTAATTATTTTTTTTTATCCACACTGGTTTTATTAAATGATGTATCCAAATCAACTGTAAGGAACATTTTCAGTGAAAACATACAAAGGAAGAAGACTTGACATTGAATGACATAACCAAAATACTGCAGGGTCATTTTAAATGTATGCAATTCCTTGCACTTTCCTCATGATCATTTCATGATTTTCTTTAACCATCAATTAAATTATATTTATTTTTTCCAAATCAATTAATTGAGTTACTTGTGTTTGTTCTGTGAATTTCAATTAATGCATATTTTTACTTTAATTAACGTAATCAAAATTGATATTATTTCATTTACTTTCTAATGTGCTTATTTTGATAGTTGACTTGCATGCAAAGTAAATTTTACTGAATAAATGTCAGGAGATGTAATGATGTCAGGAGGTGTAAAAATCAATGTTAATTTGAATCTATCACCCACAGTGATTCAGTTCACAGAAAAATATGTATGAATTAACTGTATACATTTTGTTGGCTAAAAGAGAAATAAATAAATAATACTATGTGCATGGTTTTAAATAGACGTTAAAGCCATTGTAAATCTACTGGTTACCTGCACTGTTTATCAGACAGTATAAATATTTGACTGGAAGAATACAATGGCAAGATGACAATAAATATCCATGTGATAAGAATGTATGTGCATATTGGGCAGTAACCCTGGAACCTACAAGTGCAAATGAAAGAAAACAAAATTAATATAATAAATTTGATTCGTTGTACGTAACTCATTTGGGGCAAACAATAAATTTTTTTAAATTAATTGTTATTTTATGCTTTTATTGGTCTATCTCCTCTCTTTACATTTTGTCTTCTTTAACTAATTGTAGATTATGCTGGCTTTAGTAAGACAATGTAAACAGGTGCAGTAAAGAGATTGGAAGTCTGTTCCAAACACCAACTACAGCAGGAGTTCCATACGGAAAGTAACATTTCCTAGTACTGGGTGCTTATGAGTTCCATAGGAGGTCCATAGCAATTTGTATAACAGAATAAGAAAGGTAGTTACAGAAGACCTAGGAAACATGCATAGGGTGATAAACACCAAAGATCCACAGTAAACAAGCAGAATAGAGTTCTGGAATCTCTCCAATGCCTAGAAAACCAGTCCGCTTTGAGGTTTGTTGAGTGTTGAAGGCAAAATACATAAATTTCCTATGTCACATTGGAAAAAACAGTAAGGATCACGCTCATCCTAGACCAAGGGTTCCTAACGCATGGCATATGTACACCCAATCTAGTTCCCCCCTGAGTACATGAAAACAAAAATGTAATAGTGTTTCTGCTGCTGGTGCAGCCACATCGCATGGGTTGGTAACTGTGGTCATGCGCTGCATGCTTTAATAGCCTGACCGGGCCACTTCTAAACTGGAGGGTGAGTTGCATGGAACTGGCAGCATGTCACTTCCTCCCTGCTCACTCACATTCAGACACGGGCACATGAAAAAAGGAGGATAGCAAGCCACGAGGAGGAATCAGATCAGGAAAGCAAGCCTCCAACTCCCACCAGCCACAGCCAGCAAAAGCCACTGCACCTAATGGGTAAGGAACTGGAGGGTGGCTAAAATTGTGATCTGTATGTGTGTGTTTTGGGTGTCTGTACAGATACTTATGTAGTGTTTGTGTCTGTATGTGTGTCAGTATGTATGTCTGTATCTGTGTGTCTTTGTATACATATGTGTTCGTCTGTATGTCTGTATCTGTGTATCTGCATGTGTGGCAGTGTTTGTATCTGTGTATCTGTGGCAGTGTTTTATCAGTGTGTGTGTGTGTGCGTGTATCTGTATGTGTGGGAGTTTATTGCATTGTGTATCTGCAGGTGTTTCAGCGTGTGTCTGTATGTCTGTATTTGTTTGTCTGCATGCCTACGTGCGTTTCAATGTTTGTATCTGTGGGTCTTTAAATATGAATGTGTGTCAATGTCTTTGTATCTGTGTATCACAATGCATGTCAATGTGTGTATCAGTGTGTCTGTATATCTGCATGTGTGGTAGCGTTTATACCCGTGTGTCTGTGCATCTGTATGTGTGACAGTTTGTGTATCTGTGTGCCTGTATCTATATGTGTGGCAGTGCTTGTATCTGTGTATCTACAGGTCTGTATATTTGTTGGAGATTCAGCACTCTTCAAGTATAGCATAGGTGCATACTTCCAAGGTCACTTTCCAAACAACTTCACAAAGAAAAAAGAATAATGGGATAATAGCACTACAACATAACCAAAATGAAGATCTATTATTTATTCCACCATTAAGTGGATCCAGCAATGTTTTGACATGCAATGTCTTTGTCAGTGTGTGTCAGCATGTGTATCTGTGCACCTCCATTTGTGTCATGGTTTGTATCTGTGTGTCTGTATCTGTATGTGTGTTAGTGATTGTTTCATTGGTCTATGTATCTGCATGTGTATCCCTATATGTGTGTGTAGGGTTGTGTGTGTGTATCTGTATACATCTGTCACGATTACTGTGTGACCCAACACACAAAACAATATCAACACAATCAACGTATATTGAACCTTAGAATGACCATACTGAACGTAAAAACAAAAGGTCAAAATAACAAGCCAAGGTCGTGGGATATAGAATAAGACAATTTGAATAAACTAGCCAAGGGTCAGGATACTAGAAGTAGGAAAAGTCAAATAATAAGCCAAAGTAAAAAAATGAAATATAATACCAAGAACGTGCTCTCTGACAACCAACAAGTGGAAACCACGACAGGGCACTGAGAAAAGGCATAACAGGGTTTAAACATGCCTCTCAGTGCTGTGATTGGTTATTACATGGCCTTTACCCCAAAACGTGCATGTGTGTCGTGACATCATCGCACCATCTCTAATGTGGGCAGTGCGCCCTTTAACATTAAGAATGAGACTGCAGCTTCTGGCGGCCCTCAGAACGCCACTCCAGCCGGAACCCGTCCTCTTGGAGGATCGGGCGGCACACCGCGGCGATCCAGGTAAGTAAAGTTTTCCCTTTAAGATCAGGGACTTACATGTATCTGAACATGCACACATTGATTGAGAAATAATGAAAGAGATGTTATCATATGTTTTTATAACCTAGCTTGCATTTATTGAACTGTCTATATATATATATATATATATATATATATATTCATCGCAATATAATGATGTGCCCTAGAAAGATATTGTTAAATACCATGGATACAGGTGCATCTTTTGAGGTACTTATTAGCAATCTGCCCAGAGTAACACCTTTTATATTGATAAATCTCCCTCAGTAACTTAATATCCCTAAAGTTCTTAAAGTTGTAATGAAAATTATTCAACCCCCTTTTAAAATTGGGTATATTGTCAACATTTTTTACAGACTTTCAGCTGTTTGCAATGAACAAATCAATCAAAAGCAATTGAAATAGCTCAACACAAGAAATGCTTCAAGTCATTTCCCCAAATTCAACTGAAAATGCAACACATAATGACTTCTCCAGTTTCAAAATTATTCAACTCTCTGAATACAATCCCTCAGAACAGCACAAAAAAAGCAAAACAGGTATTGTCTCAAACACACCCGATGCAACTAATCAAGGGCTTCACTTCATTTTTTAATAAGGCTGCCTTGGCAACAAGTGCCTTTTATTGTCCCGCCACCCCCAGCATGTGACTAATAATTTTCACAGTCATCTGGCTTTATTTATTAATGTAATTATTTTATGTTAGCTCAGTAATTGTATAGGAATTAACTAAATATTTCAAGGTTACATATTTTGCAATTAATTGTTTTTTCTTTTATTTTGAATTCACTTTGCTTCTTTCAGAAATATAATTCTCACTAATTAGGAGCAACTTGGACTTTTTTAAACTCTTTTATATAATTGGGATAGCTGCTTTTTCTGAACACAAAGAAAACATACACAGTGGTTCAAAATTGCCACAAGGAAATTATAGGGCAGTAGAGGAAATCTGATTGCCATTATGGAGTCATGAAGGATTTTACTTACCTTTTTGTGACATAATTAAAAATGGCTAGAATTGTTTTTTGGAGGGCTATTTTTTTTTTACTTCTTTTGTTTTACTTTGTTTTTTGTTTATTTGTTTTACTTCTTGTGGATCAACAGCATAAAAGAATGGGCTTCACGGTTGAAATTAAATTATGAAAATCAAGTAACATTTATAAAACTCTAATTAACGAGCAACATTACAGAACATCTTATATGTCAAACTCAGAAAAGAAATATCAATATCAAGCTCACCACTTTCGAAGCTGACAAAATTCACTAGTGCTGTTGCATCTCTCCTCATTGGAAATCCATAACATAATTTGGAGAAACGCACACAATAATGTGCTTATTATCACCAAACAAATATTTAATATAAAAATGTATTCACAGGGGAGCGTGGTCAAGCATCTCATCAAGACTGGCACATTGTCTCTTCGCACCTTGACTCGGAGATACTTCATCGCAATTAGCAGAGGATATTTGACCCCCACACTAACGCAAAACAGGTGAATGCATCCCTACCACGCTATGGCACAGTGATCCTCCAAAAAACAGAGGCAAAAACCACTGGGGCTGCAAGTCTCAGTTCTCATCTCCTACAAGCCTATGCAATGGAGGTGTTCCAGTCTCTCGTCACTGAGCTGTCACCTCAAGATCTACACCTGAACAGGATCCACCGCTTACCCCGACCACCTAATCTACCTACATCCATCCCCGAGATGTGATTGCAAAGCTGCATTACTATACAGCTAAAGAAAAAATCCTCCAGGCAGCTAGTCTTCCCCCGACAGTGCCAGAGTGCTACGCTGCAATACAGCTGTTTACTGATCTATCCTCGGCAACCTTGTCTAAAAGGGATACCTTTGGACCCATAACCAAAGAGCTGAGAGATGCCTACATTCTCTACAGATGGGGATTTCCAACCCACTTTCTAATTCTCCACAACGGAACGGACCACCGCATATTCAAACTGAAAGAAGGCCGCAAGCTGCCCTCAGAATGGAGCATTCCAGGGCTATGTTCGATCTATACACAACTCCCAAGGCATGGCAAAACTCTCCAACGAAAATCACCAGAGACTGGTCTACGGTCCCAACAGCTAAGTGATACCAAGAGTCACTCTTACTACCTAGAGGCCTATCACTAACTCAGCCCTTTCCCTCTGCTCTCTAATAACACTACGAGTCTAACTCTTTTTTCACTTATATATTCCTAAATCAAGGGTCAAAAAGGAAAGACAAAAAAACACACACAAAATTACAAAGAAAATACCACAAAAAAAGCTAATTAACATAATAATCAACCCCACTAATTTTCTTGTCTTTCCATATATAATTCTGCTCTATGTGCTGAACACAAGAGAGTCACTTCCGAGGAGAAGCCACCGATTAACGCCATGTGTACACCATCTGTGCTTAATCGTACTTCTACTGACGGTTTCATGCACATAGTTTCATGTTTAACAGTTACATGTTTAACATTTTGTTTGTGCTTAACCTTTATTTGCTTAAATAACCTGGATACCTAAACTATAACTATAATTTATATATCGTACCCTGCACACAGCATAGCAGCCCTACCACCAACCGAAAATGACCTTTACGATCCTATCTCTAAACACTAAAGGTCTAAACTCTCCAAGTAAGAGGAGACTGGCATTAAAGGAAGCAAAACAAAGCAAAGCACAAGTGGCTTTTTTCAGGAGACCCACTTCAAATGGGGTCACAGACATAGATTCAACTCTATGCACTTCCCTGATAACTATCAATCCTGTTACAAAACTAAGAAGTGTGTTGTATCTATTCTTATTAGTGGTGTCTTCTCCTTCACATTTATTAAAAAAATTGGAGATAAAGCAGATAGAATCTTACTGATTCAATGCTATAACAACAACTAACCATATATACTTCTCAACATATATGGCCCCCATGACAACAATCTCCCAGTCCTGGATAAAATGTTTTCCCTACTCTCTTTTCACTAGAATTCAATACCTAGGAGTAAAATTGGTTCCAACGCTATTAGGCCTCTTCACAGCAAATTACAAACCACTGATACATATGTGCAAAATGGAGATTCTTAAATGGTCTCCCTACACCTTTCATGGCATGGCAGACTTTACATTATAATAATGGTAATCCTACCCAAACTTTTATACATTTTCCACATGCTGCCCATCTCAATACCCCCATCTTTCTGTAAGCAAATCCAAAAGCTTTGACCCTCATTCATGTGGGTGACCAAGCACTCCCCAACTGTCACACTCCTTACTACAGAAACATCCTAAAGCTGGAGGAGTGGGCCTACCCAATGCCCTGCTTTACTATAGGGCTGCCCTGTTGGAGTCCGCAATAAAACTTCACTCTAAAAGACATACATATCAATGGGTAGATATGGAACATAAAAGGTCCACAAAGCCATTCCTCATTGACACTTTGGAAGGACATTTGACACCTAAACTCTCTAGACAAAATATCTCCCAGCTCTTCCCCACCACCAAGTTGTCAATTTACCAATGGGATAAATTCCAGGTATGATATGGTACCCAATCTAAATTTTACATGAGTGCCCCATTAACAGCCTTACATGCTATCTCTCCAGAGATTTCTTTACAGCCATGGTCCAAATAAGGGGTTCTCACTATAGCAGATGTGAGCTGTCAGGGCACTATTCTGCCCTTTCCAGATCTACAGAAAAAATTCAAACTACCAAATTCCTTTGTATTCCAGTATTTACAATTAAAAAGTGTGTTATCCTCAAAAGTTCATAAACCCGATGACTTCACAGAAATGTAAACAGTCTGTACACAAATGATATATAACCGCTGCTGGCACAGCCCAAGCAAACCCAAAGCATTCTCTCTGTGTTACAATGTTCTCTTGGGTTCCGTAATAACAAACTCCTTCCCTTTCAAGAGCTCCTGATCCAGGGAATACCAACAAGCACCACAGGGGAGTGACTGGAAAACAACTATTAAAGTGCTCCAAGATATAACGAAGTGCTACTCACATATTTAAGCACATAGGAAGCTCATTTACCTCTCATATTTAACCCCAGACAGGTTACATATGATATTCCCAAAGATGCTGGAATTCTGTTGGAGATGTGGGAAGGAAAAGGAAAACATCTGGTGAGGGTGTCGGATGCTCGACCCTCTATGGACCACCAGAAAGACACTTGTCTAAGCCATGCACACCATACACACCCCTCATGCACTATCCACATATCTGTTCTTACAATTTCCCCCGGGAACATCCAAACCTACCAAGCAACTCATGCCCCCCCTCATTTTAGCTGCCCGTAACCTAATAGCTACCAACTGGAAACTAAATATATGACCTACAAAGAGTGCATTGATAGACAAAACTAAGCAATACTGTATTTATAATGTCAGCCTTATTCATTTCAGAGTGCGAGTGAGTCACTGAAATGTGGACACAGTGGACAAACCGACTCACTACTATTGGCATAACATCCACAAATTAAGCACATCTTTAAGTTACCTCCCCCATCTCTCCCACCTCCTATCTTTTTTATGTACCCTGCCTACATTCCCCAGATTGATGCACTAGAGCATGTTTAATATGTTGTCATTGAAATGTTGATTGTGCACATGATACTGTTTATTACATGTTATATTTGTCTTTCACAATCTCGAACCAGAACATATTTTATGCAAAGTGGTACCCTACTTTTTATGGTATGTAACATTCCAAAAATCTCTTGATTATCACTATAACATATTGTATGTTGCACTCAATCTGTTTTTGTCACTTTTCTGATCACCCCAAAAAACTCAATAAAGACTAGAAAATATTCTCACGGATGTATACAAAATGAAGCATTGACATACAGTCTTGAAGAGATCTCTTGCTCGTTTGTCTCAGTTTTCCTCTTTTTATACCTTCTCACTTCAATATTCCCATGGTAATAACCATTCAAAAAACTAACTCCTGTTGCACACTTTTAAAGAGAAACCTGATGAAGAGGGGAACCAATCCTTTATGACATAATTAAACTTTGAGGTAGCTGTACCATTCATTTAATCAGTCACTCAAATTTTTGTAGGAATTAATCAGATGTCAAACTGCATAACACTTTAAATCTATATTATGCTTAACCCTGATATGGAGTCTATATAGATGTCCAAGGGCATAATACAAAAGTTATGGCAAAAAATCAAAGTTAAGCAAGGGTCCCTGGAAATAAGAAAAAAATAAAAAAAGACTCAAATAGCTTTTCATACTAATTAGAAAATATGACAATAAAGATATTGGTACTGGTAAGACAAGAAATAAAATTAAAAAAACAACAAAAAAGACTAGATAAACAATTATTCACAAAGACAACCCAAAAATAAATTTTAAAAAATAATAATTTTCAGTTTCTTCTATTTTGGAATTGATTTGTTAAAAAAAAATGTTACTGAAAATATTTTTTCAATATTAAAGATAAATTCATTATATATATGATATCATTGAGGCACCTAAATTGCATTCTACTAGGCAAGGCAGTAGAATGCAATTTAGGTGCCTCAATGATATCATATATATAATGAATTTATCTTTAATATTGAAAAAATATTTTCAGTAACATTTTTTTTTAACAAATCAATTCCAAAATAGAAGAAACTGAAAATTAGTATTTTTAAAAATTTATTTTTGGGGTGTCTTTGTGAATAATTGTTTATCTAGTCTTTTTTGTTGTTTTTTTAATTTAATTTCTTGTCTTTTGCTTCTCACGTTGGACTAAAGTTACTTAATTCTGCTTTAAGTCCACCACTATTTTAGAATATATTTTAGAATTTGTTTTTTAAAAAACCCTATGAATTTAATCTATTGTTTTCTGTGTAATATAAAGCCTTTATACATCAAATAAAACACCAAATAAAAACTAAAGGAAAAGATAAAGCAACTAGTTAAATAAATACTTTTTTTTTTTAAATCGATTGTTGTTTTTAATTTGAAACAAAGCATAAAGTCATATTTAAAAAAACAAAGAAATTAGTGGTAGCTTTTTTTTATTAAAACTTTTTATTATATTAAACAAAGGAAAAGAGTGTAATGGGTGCAATCAAATGTGAATAGCACACTCCTGACACTTAATTAGTGAAAATATATTATGTATTATTTTTTTTTAATATATTTAATCTTTATTGAAAAAGTTTTTCTTATTTTTTTTCCTTTTTCTTTTGTTATATTTCCTTTCCTTATTTTCTTTTTCTTTTCTCTTTTTTTTTTCTTTTTAAAGAAAAAGGTGTTCACATACATTATTACAAAAAAAAAAATTAGACATTAAACATTAAAAGGAAAATAACATGAGGTATGTGTAAGAACATTACAATTCAATCACTTTCAATACAAAAAGGGAGGGGGATTTTCAATATATACAATAATTCCTAAGAGACTTTTTTCTTTTTTTTTCCTTCTTTCTTTCCTTTCCCTTCTCCTTTTGTCTATCAAGTCCCAACCTTATGTATTTATACTTTTAATGAAATTTCCTACCTACCTATGTTAAAAAAAAACAAAAAAAACAGACAGCTCTTTGCTGAGAGTTAGTCGCATATTACTCCTAGGAACCTAAAAACAGAACATTTAACAATCATTCTTTCTACCGATCAGGCTCCTTAAAACTATGGCTTATTTAGAAATTTATGCACAGGTTCCACTACCCTATCTACACTTCCCAAACGTATAAACCTTAATGTATGTTAAGTCTCATTTCTTCTTCCTAATTTTACAATCAATTTCTGCCATTGTTCAATTCGTGGATTGTAATAATTGTGTGTCTCAGTATCCCTATTTCAATTTTACAATTATTCAAGACCTGATGTTTTATCATCTCCCAAGACGGGGAATCTGGAGTTTTCCAAAATCTTGCAAGAGTGGCTTTAGTTTCTACAAGGATGTGGATAATTATTTCTTTTTTATCCTTTGGAATTGTGGGCCATCCAATATGTAGTATCATAGAACTACAAGTAAAATCAAGATCCACTTCTATTTCTTCCCTACAGAATTTCGCTACCTTTTGCCATAATTGAGATATAATCGGACATGACCACCATATATGAACATAATCTGCTCTAAGGGAAGCGCAACGCCAACAATGATATTGGCTTCCTGGATATATTTTTGCTAATTTAGCTGG